GATGTTAATGTTTATGGAGAAATTTTTTGAATTTATAACAATATTTAATTAACAACTTCTTAAAACTTTTTGGCAACTGCACAATAATGTATTGTATGTATGTAATGTAACAGATTTCAACTTATAAAAGTCTTGTATTTGAGTATAGCTTGATATAACAAATATTTATTTTGACTACATTGGAAAGAGATAAAGAATAAGAGATTTCGGCTTTTTAAAATCCTTAACAAACCATATTTAGGTAGGTTTCGTTGAAAGAATTAAATATTTAGCCGATAATTGATAATAAATAAATTACTTAATTTAGTACCACAACAAACACTAAAAATCAAAATAACTCGGAAACGCACAGGAATTTCGAGACAGAAGAATTTGTTAAACTGTATGTAGATAATGAAAATAACAGTTTTTTAAAAAAATAGTCATTGGCGTAGAAGTTATGTTTAAGAAAGGGGTTGAGCACCCCCTTCACTCCGCCACTGTGCAAGTTTTTGAACATTTTTTTATGCCCCTTAATTAATAGGCATTATCTCCCAAACATGAAAAAAATCTAAGCATTCGTTTATAAGTTATAATGAATATTCGAAAAAAAAAAATTATATTCAACACCCCGTATTTCGGAAACGAAGACTTCTACGACATATGTTTATAGGAACTTTTCTGTTTAAAAACATGTATTCTATCTCCTGTTAAAATTTGTCTACAAAAAACTGACTCACCATGTATAGAAAGGGAGATATACATACACCTATCCTGCACTTATATTCAGCACCGTGCTATGAAATCGTTAGCTTCAAAGCTATATCTAGCTATATCTTTAAACCTACTCATAGGATCGCTTTGGGCCCATGACAGCTTTTGCTCAGGAAGGTGAGAGCTATATCATATTTCAATTTCAGCCATTTTGAACGAAAGCCATTTTCCATAAGGTTTGTGCGGGGTCCTTTGTATCCAGCATATCATTAGTTCTTAGCATCCTGTGAATGGATGCTCGTGAAATGCCTAAATCATACTCTGCGGCACGAGTTGAAGATTCTGGATGAACATTAAAATAGGCTAGCACATTTATTACATTATCTTCATTTGAAGTTATTGGTTTTGGTAAAATTCTTTCTGCATAAATTCAACCACACTCTAGTTGATTTGCTAAAATTCTTGCTAAAAGCACCTAAAATAACACGTAGAATGCAAAATTGCAATAATATATAGGGTGTTCTATTTAAAATAAGCAAGTTGATGGCGACCTCCGGTATAACCGGAAGTGGTACGTGGACGTCATTATTTTAGTTGAGAAGGTCATGCCCGAAAACCCGGTATCCCAAATTTTCATAATTCAAATCAAAGTAGACTCTGAAATAATTCTAATGGGCCGTCACCGTAAGACACCCTGTATACTAACATATTCGTAGGTTATATCTCACCCCACACATGCATCAACAATGGAGAAATAGCCAATTTGTAAAATCTGTATGAACAGATTTAACTTAATTTTCCATTAAATCTGTCCATTTGTGTGAATTTTTGTGATGACAATCGTCCCTGCATCCCTAGACTTGCTCTTTAAATCGAGCAATTTTTTCATATTGATACCTTCGTTCTAATGACATATCCCACATTGGAAAAATTTTTCAGATCATAAAAACGTCTCGCTGCCAGAATTAAAAAAAAATAAGTAAATTTTTATTACGTGAATCATTAATGTTCACTTAACCTTAATATGTGGGATACAACATATTAGAATACGTGAAAATCGCCGTGTGGGACACGACATATTATTATTATATTTATTTGACCTTTAAAACTTTAACATAAGCTGCATGCTGCACATTATGATTCCATTTTTTAAAAAAGTGAAATTGTCAAATTTGTGGAATACGTCATATTAGAACGACAGTAATGATACGTTTTTAGTCACATTTAATTTTTTTTTTTTTCAGGTTATAGAGGTGACTGTTAAAATGTGGAAACTTATCAGATGCAAAACACATGAAAATTAAAACTCAAATTATGTAGACTTTAAGAACAATAAATATTATTTATCAATATGCTTTTTTATTATTTCGAGATATATTCATACTTATCTTAAAAATAGAAATGAGGTCACTACAACAAAGCTATAAAAAAGTATAAACATGATATAGAATAATATAAAAACAACTTAATTTACTTTCTATGTTTTTACATTACCTCACAGTTATTAAAGAATAATTATAATTTATCTGAATTTAAATGAACACACACAGAATTACAAGAGATTCATTTTAAAAAGATCAAGTTAAGTTTTTGTGAAATTATATAAATACAAATTTCAGGCTATCTTTTGTGACAGAAGCCAAGGCGGTAATTTCATTTTTTTGTTATGTTCAGAATGCTTTGTCTCCTTTTCTTCAATTTTACGCTTCTCTTGTGATTTTATTTGTCTCGGAGGAGAATCCAAAATTGAAAAATCAAATCCAGATGCTTCTTCAGTTTTTCCGTTGAATGTTTGTTCACGAGAATTCTTATCTGTATTTAAATTTTTTTGTTCACTAAGACTAGTTTCTAATTCATCACAGACTGCCGCAAGCATCGCATCATTAAATCCGTCAGAAAAGTTTGAATTCTCTTCTTCCCCCTTTAATTCAACAGTTGGAATGCTTTCCAGCTCATCAAAAGTTTCTATAAGTCTTTTTAGATTTTGTGTAGGACCTGGTTGTGATAGACTTTTAATATCCTTGTTGGCTTCAGATGTGGCAGGCTCATATTTAGACATAGTTGGAAGTTCTATTAAATTTTGAGTATTAGTCAGTTGCGACAATTTATTAATATCCATGTGAGCATTAGATGCGCCAGGTTCACATTTCGAAGTAGTTGGAATAGGAATATCGAACATCGAATCAATGTCCTCGAATTCAATAAAGGGTACATTGAGATTCTTTAGATGTTGCCGAATTTGTAAATAAGTTACCACTGCCTTTATTTGGTTGTACGTTATCTCTGGTGGACAGACATTTTTAATTGGTGTTAGTAAAGATAACCCTAAAAATAACAATTTTAAGAATATTTGTATAGACCGATCGAAATAACTAATTTAGAGGGAAAAAAATTTTATCTGGACTTTTATAAGTGGAAATGGTAAAAGTAATAAACGAAAAAAAAAAATAAATGCGTGAGCAGGGGCTACGGAGGGTTTATTCGAGGGATTGAAAATTTGTGAAAAATTGTATCATTGGAATTTCTAGCAAAAGTTGACGTCAAACAAAAAACTATCCAATAAAGAACTTGTAGATCATGCAAAAATCTTTTATAGAGGTTACTTTTTAAGACAACCTCAAAATTTCCGAGAAAAATGCGAAAAACAGGTTTTTTTTTCTTATTTTTCGTTATTTCTCATTTCCTCAAAAATAATTTAATTTTGACAGAACTTAGTGAAAGTATACCCTTCTGTGTCTTAAATAACCACACATTTTTTTAGATAAAAAAATCAAGAAGTTTCCGAGATATTCATTTTTTCCGATCTGAAACACTTTTTTTTTCAAAGAAAAAAATCATCGTACAGAGTTCTGCCGATGATCATTTTTTTTTTTTTTGTTTTGGCATATACTTTGGTGAAATAAAGAAATCTGTAATCACAGTTCAAAAACATGACCAAACATGCAAAAAAAAATAAAGTGACTTGCAACAATGAATTTTTCAGTAATTGTTGATAATTTGTTTAAATTTAAAAAATATATAAAAAACTGATTACACCATTCAATTGTATGGAAAAAATACAAAAAAAACTGTGCCATTGTTTGACCAAAACTTTATTTTTGTACAGTATTGCTATAAACATAAGTCGAATAGTGAATAAATAAAATAAATCATTTTTTTTCCGTAGGATCGATTAGTGTACTTATTATTGTTTAATTTTGATGAATTCATAGATATGCAGTGGGTCCAAGATAAGAATGGGACAGCATTAGGATCTAGGAAATAGTAAGAGATACGGGGTGGCTCAGATTAGAAAAAAGTTGTGTTTTTTTATACCTAACAATATGCCGTTTAGAAAATTGTAAAATTCCGGGTAGTTTAGAAGATATTCGGAAGAATCTGAAATTTTGCAAAATTGTTTAATGTTTTTTCTGACTTTATTTGAAAACGAATTTTAAAATAAATTGCATATTTACGATGCTACTTTTTCGCTCTATAAAATGGTGTCAAAATTTTTGTAATTCGACGTTTCAACTTTGAAGGACCATCATCAGGTAAATTTTTTTAGATATGTCGCTGCAATTTTTATGACCAAGTCTAGTCATTTTAATTCTGAATAATATTACTATTGTAATCGCTTAAACAGGTTTTTAGCTATCATTTAAAATTTTTCTTGAGTACGGCTCTGAACGCTTTCAAAATATCTATTGGATGAAGTCTTAACAGTATAAAAGTCTATACAGCACAAAATATCCAACAATAGCAGCAACATATTTAAAAAAATTGACCCGATGCAAAAGTGTTGACGCCATTGGATAGATTGAAAAAAGTGGCAATGTAAATATGCAATTTATTTTAAAATTCGTTTTCAAATAAAGCCAGAAAAAATAAAACGATTTTGCAAAATTTCAGGTTTTCGGGTTTTGCGTCAACAGTAGATTTGGCATGAATACTTTGTATTGCTGAAATCTCAAATCATCCAGAGATAATTTATCATTTGTGCATTTGTAATTCGACTTAGACGTTTATAGCAATACTGTACAAAAATAAAGTTTTGGGTCAAACAATGAGTCAGTTTTTTTGTATTTTTTCCGTACAATTGAATAGTGTAATCAGTTTTTGATTTTTTTTAAATTAAAACAAATTATCAACAATTGTTGAAAAATTCATTGCTTTTTATTTTTTTGCATTTTTGAGCATGTTTTTGAACTGTGATTTCAGATTTCTTTATTTCACCAAAAAGTATATGGCAAAACGAAAAAAATGATCACCTGCAGAACTCTATATGATGATTTTCCTAAGTAGAATTTTTCTTTGAAAAAAAAGTGTTTCAGACCGGAAAAAATAAATATCTCGGAAACTTCTTGACTTTTTTATCTAAAAAAATTTGTGGTTATTTAAGACACAGAAAGGTATACTTTCACTAAGTTTCGTCAAAATTAAGTTATTTTTGCGGAAATGAGAAATAAAAAACGAAAAATAAGAAAAAAAACTGTTTTTCGCATTTTTCTCTTAAATTTTGAGGTTATCTTAAAAAGTGACCTCTAAGAAAGTTGTAGGTTTTTGCATGATCTACAAGCTTTGTATTGGATACTCTTTTGTTTGGGGTCAACTCTCGCCAGAAATCCCAATGATACAATTTTTCACAACTTTTCAACCCCTTCGCCACCCCCGCTCACGCATTTATTTTTTTTAGGTTTATTATAAGCCATTTTACCATTTCCACTTATAAAAGTCCAGGTAAAATTTCATTACTCTTCAATATTTCTTACAATCTCCATATAAAATAAAAATAAACTAAGTTTTTGAATAAATTTTTCTATTGTAACCTACATTTTTTTCAATGGGATATCCTAAATATGTCTACATTCGCAAGCATTACTCATAGAAACTTTTATAACGTTTGAATAAAAATAGAGAATTATAACAAAGATTTGTTTAATGTACGTAAAATAATTTATTTTAAATCAAAAACTTTTAAAGATAATATCAACAAGTAATATATAGTGTCCCGCATAAGAACCGACACATGGCAGGTGCATGTAGGGGTATCTAAAATATTGTAATTTAACCAAACTTACCTATATACAAAGTTACACCCCTGAGAAGTTATTAGCCGCCCCAGTGGAGCCCTAAATTTGGAAAAAAATGTATATCTCCGCAACACTTTACCGTAGAAGAACCAAATTTAGTACATGATTTAGGTTTATTACTGGTCTTCTTTGACTATGATTTAAGGTCAAGTTTAAGGTGTTCATTGGGGATGACTCACCCCTAAAATTGTTCAGAACTTTTTTTTCATTGACCGAATTGAAAAATAGTAATATTAATTCACAGCAGAATTTACTTTCAAATTTTTTTTACTCTTGTTAAATTTTAAAAAACTATGGTTTTCAAGAAAAACCGTATTAACTGACACAAGGTTTTAACAGTATTCATTAGTAGAGATGAGAAATCCGGTTCATTTTGTTGACCCGGTTCACCGGTTCCGGTTCAATTGAGCCGAATTTGTCAAAACTATCCCTTCCCTTCTTTTCTTTCTAGTACACTGCGACCCCTGCGACCCGTGTAGCCGAGTGAATGTATTGCGTAGCTCACTTAATAAAATTATTAAACAGATACATAAAATAGATTGTTTAATAGAATTATGTATTATTTTTATACAAATATATTAGAATCAATATTCGGTTGATTATTAACTAGCAATTTAGAAAGCACGTAAGGAAAAAAAGAAAATTTTGGAATTAATTTTTATTAAATAATTATTTTTTGGTGAATTTATTTTTTTGCATTTATTTGAATGAAAATTTGTTTTCACTACTTATTTATCATTTGAAAAAGTAGCGAATAATACAAATAATACACTCGATACCTGCACTGTATAAATTGTGCGAGTGCAGGTGCACTACTCTTGATTTCAGTTCACCACTTTCGACATTCGATGCAAAGATCCGAGATCCGGGACAGATCTTTCAGAAGGAACCAGTTCACTCGGCTCAGTACAAAGAGCCGGCTCAGTGAGCCGAATCAGTCATGTTCCGCCCATCTCTATTCATTAGAAAATATTCAGTCAGTAGTAGGCTCTTTCAAATTTGGCAATTGGCCAAATAAATTTTACTTTAGGAAAACAATCAACATAAAACAAGTATATCTTATTTGTGTAAAATCGATAAGAGAATAATACTTTTCTAATAAAACTTTCATACACACACTGAGAAAAAAGTTACGACCAATTTTTATCAATCAAGAGTCCATTTTCTAGCGACCTCTAGTCAGCACAGTTAAGTCCAGATTCGTTTTCCTGGACCCAGAAAATCCCTGAATCCAAATTGGACAAGTGGACTAAAGTAAGTTTAGCTATATCACACTATTTTAAGGTAAGGAGTCTACCCTTGCTCTGTGTCCTATTAATTTCGGGACACGTGCATGTGCAATCTTAGTCTATTTAATAAAAAATATTTTAACATTATTTTTGTTGTTGTTAATTAAGTTTATTTATATCCGGTTAAATGCAACATGTGTTAAAAAAAAATCTAATACAAAAGATACTAGATTCCTACTTTTAATTTGCTTACTAAAAATAGGGTGGTTTACAAAGATATGGAAAAGTCACTACATTTTGGCCAAATTTGGTCAATTGATGGAGGTCAGCAACAGTGATTTGTAGTTACATTAATTATTTATGACGTAAGAGATGATTACAACTAGAACCATTTACTATATTTTGTTTATTGTCAATTTTGATAAGTTAAATACCTTTTTAATGTTTATTGAAAGAAGAAATAAATAATTTTTCTGACAACAAAATATTCAATAATTTAGACAATTAAAAGGTATCGATGTGTTACCTGTGTCAACTTTCTTTAATGCATCTTCTATGGTGTTTTTAATTTCATTAGTTACGTCTAATTCTGCCAGTTTTATTGGGTATCCTAGTTTCATAACATCTATCAAATGTGAAATAATTGTGTTTGGAGAAAAACCCCTAGAAAAAGTTATTTTGGCAAATATTAAACAATGCAGGACAAACCGTAGGGTTTAAGAAATTTAACTGATGCTTCCTCTGACCAAAACAATGTTTTACTCGGAAATACCCCATCAAAATAAATAAACTTGTAAGATTTTTGAAATAAAAATTATCGAGAGAGTTTGAAATATATTTTTTAACAAGGTGTTAATGCCTCTTATTAAAAAAATATGTATTTTGGTACCGAAATGCACTCTGTTAACAGCACTCTGTTAATAGCTTTGTTTTAGCCAGAAAAAGCTTCAATAAAATTTTTTGCACTTAATTATAACTAGTTAACCTCTTAACAGGCAAGCAACATATTGTTAGAGCAGTAATACAATTGCACATAAAATCAACACATGCACATAATATGTATATTCATCTTATTAATTGGGAATTTTCATGTGTCCATACTAGAAGGGGTAAAAATCTAATTATAAATCATGACAACTTTTATTGTCTTAACATATTAATAGACAAACGAAATAAAGACAAACTATATATGTAATTGATTGATTTTATATTTTTAAGGGTAGAGATTTGAACGTAACATAACAGGTGAGTATATATGTATTATCCATGAAAAGCTTCTACAAGTATTAAGCTATGAATATATAGTAATACCCCGACTTATGCAAATCCTGAGTTATGCGATTTTTAAATCTCGTCGTTTTGTATTTTGTGCACCGCTCAATTCTCGATTCTTCACTCCGTCTACGCATGTTTGGCCATGCTTCGCGTGGAGTCGACACAGATACAAATTATTATTTTGTGTCACAGTACATGTTAATATTGTGTATTCGTTATATCTACGGAGACTTACAGACTCTATATGTCATCTAAATAAAGTAGAACTGATTCTTTTGCATCAAACAAGAAAAAAAAACATCTTTGGAATGTAAACTTAACATTATTAAAGACTTCGAAGCAAAAATAAAAATTTGTGAATTGGCAAGGAAGTTTGATCTACCGAAACAGACATTCAGAACAATTATAAAAGGTAAAGAAATAAGCTGTGAAAAATGCTCAATCTTTGAGTTCAAGCATCATTCTAAATGTCATGGTATTATCGCTGAGATGGAAACAATGTTAAAATTATGGTGTGATAATCAAGTAAGTGTGTAAAATTGACCTATCGATCAGAACACGGTGTGCCGATTCAAATGTCGCCGTAATTGGTATAGCATTGCAGAAAGTGAAGAGGGGGCAAGTGCTGATGAAGAGACTGTCTCTCTATCCAGAGAAATTCAAAGCCATTATAGAAGAAGATGTCTATATCAGTCAAATCATATCTGACTTGTTCTTGACTTTTATCGCACATGAAGAGAAAACCTTTTCAGATTTTAAGACTGCCAAAAATCGATTGACAGTGATGGTTGACACGAATGCAGTTGGTGATTGTAAGTTAAAATCTCTCTTAGTTTATTGCTCAGAAAATCCAAGAGCAATAAAAAAAATAAATGTAAAGCTGCTTGCCCGTGATTTGGAGGTCGAATTGTAAAGTAATGAGTGACAGCTTCCCATTTTGGGGACTGGTTTGGTCATCACTTTGTACCTGAAGTCGAACGTTAGAGCCAATTAAAATATATCCCATTTAAAGTGATGCTATTCATTGACAATGTACCAGGTCATCCTCCTGCTACTTTAACTAATTTCGAGCCACACGTTAAAAGTTATAATTGTGCTACCAGATAAGACCAGGTTGCTTGAACAGATGGACCAGGGAGTCATTCAAACTTTATTACACCAGACAATCGTTTGCGCATCTGCATGAAGCTATGAGACAAAACTAAAAGCTCTCTGTTAAGGACTTTTGGAAAGAATTAAATGTTTTAGATGCCGTTTGAGTCATTGGACAATGTTGACAAAAAACTTTAAATAGCGCTTGGAAAAAACTGTGTCAGAGCCTGATAGAATTGATAATGTGATGGAAGAGGTTGTTGATCTTGCCAAACAAATAAATTTAGAAGTGGACAGTGATGACGTTCAAGTACTGCTGAGCTCATAGAAATGCGTGAGCAAGAGCAAGACATTGAAGAATCTGATTCTTTAAACCCAGTTAAATGGAAAAAGGGTTACAAATTTTGGAAAATGTAGACTCCAATGAAGAACGCATTTCTGTTACAAAACAGGGAATAAAAGAAATTATTAACGTGCTATGAGGAAATTTTATGTGAGAAGAAAAAATCTTGTATCCATCAGATGACTTTGTTAGATTTTATAAAGCCTTCTACGTCAAAATAACTTCAGTTTACGTTTTTGCAATTCATAATAATATATTTTGTTGTATTATCTACGATTTTATTACACATTTTTCTTTTAAATCATTTTTTGCTTTAGGCTCCGGTCCCAATTGAACATACATACTTTGTATGTATTTATACAGGATGATTCAGAACTTATCCAAAAAAAAATTAGAAACGTTTAATATACATGTATAAATATGGTAATGCAAAGAAAAATTAATATATGCATACTGAAAACTATTTAAAAATATTTAATTGCACGCTGGAATCTGATATGACATATCTTACGAACCTCCAAAGTTCTGTGATTAGTGATTACTGATTAAACTGACACTGGCACAAAAAAGATTTGTAGAGTTTTACTTTAAAATAAACTTGAAGATAGATAGATAATTTTGAATAAGAATTGCAGTACTTGATCACTATAACAAACGTGAAATTTATAAAAAAAGGAGCACATACCTTATTACAAAAGTTGTACGAAATTTTGTCCCTCGACCTGTACACGCATTTGGGCACGCCTTATCCAATTTTGCCGTACTAAAGCGAATGTTCCTCCTGGCTGCTGTTCTTGTAAACGCAAATTATTCGCAGCTGCTTGACAGTTTCCACTTCGGTAAAGTACACCTCGTTTTTTAAATGGCCCCACAAAAAGAAGTCAAGAGGTTTAAATTAGGGTTTGCAATCCCGCATTCCGCGTTACAGCATTCCAGCAATTTCCCGCATGTCAATGAGAATTGCGGAATTCCCGCATTTGTGCGGTAATTCCCGTGCGGGAAATTTTTGAATAGAAAACGTCCGTTTAGCGACATAGCGTGGGGCGCTCGCTATTTGGTTTGCGTGCGCATCCCGTTCCCCTATGACAGCATCGATCAATCATTGATCTTTGCATCATTCAAACAAATTCCTTGATTCGTTTGTTTATTTTCGAGAAAAAAAGTGTTTACAAAGTGAAATTTTATACGTAACTAATAGTTTTGTCTTCTTGTATGTTACTTTAATTATACTATCCTGCCCTACTTCGGAAAAAGACCGTATATGCAGTTTTGTGACAAATTGAGATAATTACATTCTCGAAATCTATATCGCATTATACATTACCCATCTATAAATATCAAAAATATCGTTTTTGTTTCTTTAAATTTAAAAATTTGTATATTTTAAATTTCTAATATTGTGTCACTTAGCAGACTTATGTGCATGTATTTTATTAAGAGGTACATAGTATAAACGCCGCATGTGACCACATACGTCTTTCTTCTCTAGCAGAAGCGTTGAAATACGATGTTTTTAACAAATTAAATTCGTATGTTTTACATGCGTTGTTTTAAATTAAACAACAATTAAATATTATTTGCAACACAATATATTAAAAATTATAAAATACCCTGTAAAAACATCAAAAATATCATGTATAGGATGTACATGTACAAAATCTTAAATTTATTAAGACAAAACAACATTTTCGACGCTGTTTTTATTGAAATTGCAATGTTTTCTAACATACTTCAAATACATTAAAAAATATTTGTTTTTCATTTGCCATTACCGAAAAAACATGTTATTACCTTAATTAGTAAATGAATGACAGCCAAATGAAGTATGCCTAATATCTCTGCAATTTTCTCTAAACTGTCATATTCCGAAGTATGGCAGTATATTATCGACGTATCTAGCAAATATTTTTTTAGAAATTGTTACTACGATTAAATTACTAACCTAACCTAGATGTTTATATTTAGTAATTTAACAGCAACAAGTACGTTAAGTAACTAGAGACATAATAATATCTATGTAAAAATAACAAAAGTAATATATTATTGATGTGTTGATTTCTGTTGATTCTTAGTTAATAAACATAGTTTTTAATGTATATAATACTTATCTGTTGATTTTTAAATACCAAGAATTATTTATATTTCATTTGATTAAATATAAACATTCCACAATAATAGCATTATTATTTTCATATATAAATATATTTTTAAAACACTCGCGGGAATTACAGCGGGATCCCGCTGTAAAGGCGAATTTACCGCAAATTTCCAGCTGGAAAAAAAAGACTGCGGGATTGCAAACCCTAGTTTAAATCAGGAGACCGCGGAGGCCATGCTACCGGGCCACTTCGTCCAATCCACCGTACTCAGTGCACTTGATGGAGATAATCTCAAACATCTAGCCGAAAGTGAAGAGGTGCCCCTTCATGTAAAAACCACATACGTTGTCGGACAGCTAGGGGTACATTTTCAATAAGGACGGGCAGGTCATTTGAAAAGAAATTAGAGATATTGTAAACCATCCATACAATTGGGCAACGGTCCAATTAGGCGTTCATCAACAATTCCTGCTCAAATATTCAGTGAAAAACAGTGTTGGAAGTGATCCCTTTCAAATGCGTGCGGATTTTCGAATGTGTATTATAAATGTTCTGTATGTATTCCATTTCGAGTCACCACTTACAAAACCTAAGTTGTAATGGATAATCCGCTGGTGCTTGAACACACTGGATATGATATGAGTATAACTGAGCTTCATGTAGCAAGCGCCACACCGTTGATCGGGATACTCCAGGCACCTGTCTAGCAATCTGCCTTGTACTTATTCGCGGTTTTTTACGAACCGTATTCAACACTTGTTCCTCAGCTGCTAAAATACGTTGTGGTCGCCCAAGGCCACCATCTCGTCCACGATTTGCACATAAATTACCCGTATCACTTTCACATTGCATCACTACTTTAAAAGTTTCATTATTTGGCGTGTGTCAATCGGGAAATCGATCCGCATACAAGCACAAAGCTGCCAATGCATTTTATCCAATTTCACCATAAATAAAAATCATGTCCATTAACTCAGCATTGCTGTACACATGAGCCATTTTGAAAATTTTGACACTCCCACGATAAAACAATCAACGCTACTGACCTCGTTCGTTTACCACCTAGAGAGCGCAAAAACTTGTTTACTTTTCTTTGTTATCAGATGCCGCTGAAGTACAATTGCCCAGCTACATACTCCTTTTGATGATTTGAACTTTAAACATTTTTTACGCGAAATCTAGACTTTAATTATAACTTTTTTTGGTGATAACCCTATCCTCAAAGTTTTTCGGATAAGTTCTGTATCACCCTGTATATAAAATTGTACTCCAACATGCGAATTTGACTTACATTAGTATATATTATAAATCTGCAGATATATTCACCATAATCAGTTAAGAGATTAATAACCAGTTTAAAAAAAATATGGAAATGGATATGGAAATCTGTAAACCATTCTATTTTTCTTGAGAAAAATGAAAATATTGTGGTTAAAACTTTAGTATTGCAACATTTTCTTAGGTAAAAATCTTTAAAAAAGTCCGTTTAAAGATTTCAGCATATTCAACATTGGACAAGCTTACTTACCTTTTTTGCGAAATTTCATGTACTGTCATTCCAGACTGAAATAAAGAATAGGTTGTATGTGCACTTGTATTCTGTTTAATTTCAATTAAGGGATGCTGTCTAAGGATATCCTCTATAGACATTTTTTCAACACTTTGATCATCACTTATGTTAAGTGCTAATCGAACCGTCTTTATAAACTGTTTACCAAACTTAATAATTTTTGCTTCGGTAAATCCTTCCACTGGAACAAAATATATGTAATTCTAAATCTAAAATGGTTGCTAATAATTTACACTGGCATTTCCTTAATTGCTCTATAGTAATGGGTTTCTGTTTTGCCATTTCAATCAAAGCTGTGTTAGATGCAATTGTATAGGGCATGCAATTTTGCAGAGCAGCTAATTCATAACGCTGGTTCATTAACAGCTGATATAATTTCATAACCAAATCTTTATTTTTATCTTCCTTAACATTTGTAACGGTCAAAGGTTGTGGTTGGCTTGATGATGATAACCAAATATTTCTGAAAGTAAAGTTTATACAATAGAAATATTTATAAATAAAAAGGTATATATTTACAAGGTGTGTGACTATAAGGTAGATGTAACTCTGAAAATAATATAAGCACACGAAATTTTCTACTAGAAATAGACATCAACTTTCTTACTTTAAGGGGTAATACTACCTTGTAAATATTTATTTTTCCATTTTTTCATTTTACTAAAAGCTCCCTAAAGTAGCCTAGAATGCTATTTGTGCGAAAAAAATTTTATTAAACCAAAGATCGAATTTGTGAGTTTGTTTTGTACTTGATTTGGGTGCAGTGTTGACAATGTTCACTTTTATGTTTAAACTTATTAATTTTCTTATTTAGACCATTAGAAGTTTCCACGACTTGAGTATTCAAGCCAGGCTATCAACTGATGCTAGAAAATTCATTATCAATCACAATACACACTATTTTGACATTTTAATACTTAAAATGCGTTTTTCTTTAAACCATGTTTTCTGAACTTACAATTATAGTCTGTTTAGAAATAAAAGCTCAATAAATATAGTACTGGTGCTTATATTCAATATTTTTATATTATGTATTTTACGTATAGACGAGGTCTACTTTTAACAAAACTTTGTGCGATCGGACTGTACTAAATTGTAGCAGGTAGCTGAAATTTAATCCCCGACAATCCGTCTTTGTCTATGCCGTTTCAATTTCTCGGTCCATTTCTCTTATAAGTAAACAATATAAAAACAGCATTTCAAAACATGAGGCTACTTTAAGCATCATAACCGGGTTAAGAGGGTTTTTAGTAATTCAAATAAAATTATTCAATATTATTATCAAAATATTTATTTAAATTTAATGAATAGACTTTTATTCCACACAAAAATATATGTATTTTGAAAATTCAAATTATGGTGAGTAAATGTAGTGTTGTATAAATGTACAATAAAGAAAATAAAAAAGTAGGTATATTAAAATTCATCCTCTGAATATTCTGATGAATTATCTTCGTCTCCTAGATTGATAACGATAGGTTCCACAGTAACGTCAATTAAATTATCGAGTTCCCACATTTTCTCCTCTTCTTTTTGTACATGATGTATACATCTTTGCCAGTTATCTGCAGTTACTCGTTCCAAGGAATTTTTTAACAAAATTTTCACGTCACTTAATTTAAACGTCGTATTATTTCGCGCTACATCTCCTTTTACCTGCGCCCAGACTAATTCGATTGGGTTAAGTTCACAGTGATAAGGTGGTAACCGTAGTACCGTTATTTGGCGATTTGTTGCCATTTCATCGATAACATATTTTTTCTGATCTTTATTAAGATTGACAAGTGTCAAAAGTTCCTTTTTCACCATATTTGTTTCAAAAGAAATGTTTTTTCCGGATAACCATTGAATTATATCGGCTTTCCTCCAAGCAGTCGTAGGCGTCCGCTCGGTCTGCCGTGAATGGTAACTGGCATTATCCATGACAATTACAGACCCCGGAGGAATAAGATCCAACATCTGTGTAAAATACTCTTCGAAAACATCTGCGTTCATGTCTTCGTGATAGTCACCTGTATTTTTAGATTCAAATAAAAGTAAACCGCCATCTACAAAACCACTGGCACTACCTATATGTGTCACTATTAATCTTCGCCCTTTACCTGAAGGTGCCTTGAACCCTGTTGAAAGTCCATCCAAAAATGCTTGTCGAAAACTTTTTACATTTTTATCTTGCCATACTTTTGTTACAGTATATCCCTCGTTGACCCAAGTTTCGTCTAGATAATAAATATTCCTCCCTTCGTCACGGAATTTTCTAATTGATCTTAAGTAGGATCTTCGCCAACAAATAATTTCATCTTTATCGATAAGAACTGACTTCCTGTTCTGCTTTTCCCAGCAAAAATTCAACTCTCGTAAGACGGCCCATAATTTGCTTCTACTGATTTTTGGCAAATCGTTGTCCTCTGAAAGTTCACTTAAAATTTTGTTTAGCGTTGGTATTTCTTTTTTAAAATAAAATGAGTGTACTTTTCTGCGAATGACATTTTTGAAGAAATCATCTATAACGACTTTTGACCTCCCTGTAGATGATTTTGGGGGATTTACAGTATCTTGTTCATTTTTTGTTTCCTTTAAAAGTCTGTAGATAGTCGATTTTCCAATCCCTGTCATTTTTGTTAGCATTAGTGTTACCCGATAATTACCTGAAACGAAATATTAGCACACCCATGGCCGGTTCTTATCTCGGTGTTTTATTACTCTCTTTCATTTCCAGAGTATAGTGTACCTCTGGCACTTACAATTTTTTACCAATTGATCTGATATTTTAACTGTAGCTTAATAATAACATTCTCTAGCGGAGTACGTAGAACTTTTTTGATTTTTATATCAAAAAAGAAAAGTTTACCTTCAATTCAAACTAACGCCATTTTTTCGAATTTCGACAAATTTTCGACAAAATTCTTGAAAATTCTTCACTAAATTTTTGGATATAATTTCAAAATATTTTTGTTTTTTTGTCAAGGTACTGTGCTATGACTTCTGCACTTTGGATTTGCGTCTAAAAAATTGTTAATGAACTTTTTTAAGTACTTTATGACTTATATTAACATGTAGATAAAATAAAATTTTTTAAATAGGCAAACGGTGCGAAATATTTTTATGATCATATTACTACTCGCAAACATAATTTTATATCCTTCATGTTGGCATTTAAATAGCATTTAGGTATTGAATTTATTGTTATACATTTAGAAAATATAGAAAATGGTAAATAGCAATGTGCTACTTAAGCATCTTCTTATTTGATTTCCCAATTATCTAAAGACCAGTAAATTTTACGAATACTTTATTGCCACAAATTGATTGTACATTTCAAAAATATTTAAAATTATTGTGGTGTATGATTTTTTTTCAAAAAAGGTCCCCTACTCCCCCAATAACTATGCCACTGGAATGTATTTTGGAATAAGTTATCCATGAAAAAAATAGTCTTTTAAGCCAGTGAAGGTACATGAAAAATAATATAAATATTTGAAACTTTTAACACCCTGTATCTCTGTAAGCGTCCTATCAAAAATTTTTATAGGGCAAAACTTAATTATTTTCATCGGTAGAATACGCCATTAAAGTTTGGCAGAACTTATCATTTAACACCCTGTATATTATTACACATCCTTTTCAAATTTTCTTGTAAAAATGTGTAATATATTATTAAGAAAACCAGTAGCAAAAGTAAAAAAATATATATAGAATTTTGTGTGGTAATTCTTGTGTTATATTATTAGTTACTTACGATTTTGTCTTCAAACACTGAAGTAATTCTGGTATTGGACTCAGTAGTAACTTCTTATCATCTCTTAAAAATTGTTCTCCTTTTTCACTCACACATATAGTTGTAGAACTAAAAGTTGATGATGAATAAGTGTTATGAACCTTCTTTAGATATTTTTCTTTCTCCAAAAGAATGGCTGTAAATGTATTTACATTATGTCAGATTTATCTCAACTTAACGGAATATTACCTATTCCTTTCCACCAAGCCTCACTTTTACCTTTTCCAGAACCATGTAAAGGAAGTTTAATATAATTGGTAAGTTTGTTCATCTTCGATCCCCTCAAAAATAATACATACATGTTAATTCCAAATTTTCCCTTTAACGCATTAACAGCTCTTAAAAAAATGTTTGCATCTTCTGCAAAGTTATATTTGCCATTCTTATCGATGCCCTCATAAGTAGCACTGTCTAATTGATTTCTGAAAAATTTTCAAAAATTTACATGGCACATCCCAATTTTTAGATGATAAAAATATGATATACTATACAGAATTTAAAAATAGATAATTACAGAAATTATTATGGGGACAATTTTTGGGATGTAAAATAATGTGTTATTACATTGAGGATAAAAACATTCCTAATTAAATTTTTTTGAAATGGTACATTAAAGAAATTATAGCAAGTTTAGGATTTGCAAATTCAATTAAAAAAGATTTAATCTATTCAATAAATAATGTGATCTATTTGTTTTTATTTTTGTTAATGGAATAACCACGTTCTATATTTTCAGTTCAATATTTTTTAATCACATCCTTCTTGTTGTATTTGTCTTACAACAATAACTCACAAAAACCAATCTAAATCTCAATTATTTTAATAAATTAAAAAAAAATACAAAAATAAATTCTGTTGGAAATTACTTTCTACATTAGTATATTTTTTTAATATTAATCAATTTCGAAATGAATAGAGCAAAAAATTTCTACAAAATTTTACTTGCTTCTGATGAGGTTTTTTTATTTTTTTTCCTGGCAGAAACCAATACAGTAGATGAATAAAGCTGGACCGTGTATATTTAATAATTTTTTTAGAAATGAGAATATCTAAATTTATAATTAATGAACTTCTCATCTTTCAAGACTGCCCTTTTCAGTACTTAATGTAGGGTTTAGAATAGATTTTTCAGTTTTATATACATAACTAAGGCACGACATTTTTAGTTCCTTTCCACTAACGTACGGCTGGGTAGGTACGCCATGCCGCCGCGCCGCTGGGAATAACAAATAAAACTGGAATCGGCAATAATCGGCATTCTATCGACAGCAATAGGTAGATAGTATCTGGTCACGTTGCGTCGCAACGTATCAAACATATATTTTTTATTATTTCTTTAGTGACGAGATTTTTTCTTTATCTTAAAAAAATAAATACATAGGTATGTTAAAATTAAGTATTAACAAACAACCGTTTCTGCATGCATTACATCTTGCAACAGAAACAGTTCGTCGGTGTTACCCAAATGTAGATGAATTAATAGCACAGACCAAGGCAGTTTTCCTCAAATCCCCGAAACGTATTCGTCAATTCCACCAACAGTGTCCTGGCATTCCAGAATCTCCACAACACATTCTTACACGATGGAGGACATGGTTAGAGGCACCATTTTATTTTTTAAATATTTTCAAAAAGTAAAATCCGTAATTATACAATTCGATGCCAAACAATCCGCAGTATATTCGGAAGAGCCAAATAAAATTTCAAGATAATCGAGTTGAAGCACAGTTGGAAAATATTCACAACAATTAGGTACATTACAATTGCAGACGCTATAAAAAACTTACAAAATACTGCATTATCATTAGATGAATCACTGCAAATAGTAGATGACATACAAACAGTGCTATATGACTTAAGTGACGAGAAAAGTGTTTTCGTCAGAGACAAGTTTGAGAATGTTTTAAGAAAAAATCCAGATTTCTCCAGATTAAGACATCTACATAGCAATTGTGCTCCCACGGATTCATTAACTGCTTTTAGAGATTACTTCAAATATGTACCTATAACGTCATTAGATGTTGACCAATCGTTTTCTTTATATAAGAAAATTTTTTGCGGGCATCGCTTAAAGAATCCACTATGGAGACATATGTAATGTTCCAGATATTTGCCAGAGCTCATCCAGATTTTTAATACGGAACCGGGTAATCATTCCACAATATTATAAAATTATTTATTATAAATGCACTAGGTAATCCACACGCAGACGCACCTGCTTTCAAACTGAAATGTCATGCCTTATATACAGAATGTCCCAGAATAACGTGTACAACGGAAGACCACAGATTCGTGGGCTCAAAATAGGCAGATTTAGGCTAATTCACCTATACCCAAAATCGCTTAAAATTTTTAGAATTTTGTATATAACTCGTATATCTATTAATCTATTTTGATTATTTTTGGGATGTGGACTTTTGCTTTCAATCTATACATTTTGGTGTTTTAAAACCTATTTTTTATCTCATATTTGGAAGTTTTTGGGACTCTTGCAGAATTTTGATTAAATGAGCGGTTTGGGTACAAAAAAATATTTTTGAATGTCTACATTATCATGCCACTCATATTTATAACACCTAACAAAGTGCTAGTAGGCACTGATTTTGTAGGGTGACTGTAATTTCAGTCTGATCTTTAAGTCATTGTGCCTGACAATTTTTAATTAGTGTTTATGACGATAAGATATACCACCTGTTATACCACTTCATTTTTCGATATGGATACACACATACGACGAATTAGAGTTATTTACAATGTGTCCAATTTTATTCAAAACATTAGAAAAAACAATCAAATACAACACATTGATAGCCCTATTATTGGCCCTGTTATTCTACCCAATAAACTGAATAGAGAATTTTATTAAGAATTTCTATAAAACACTTTACCCGAGTTATTGGAAGGTGTGCCGTCATTACTCAGAGCTAACATGTGATTGATGCATGGACTTCCACCACATTTCACTGTAAATGTCCGGCAGAATCTGAACCAAAGATTGACTGACCTGTACGTTCACCAGACTTAACACCTTGCGACTATTATCTTTGAGGCACTCTGAAAACAACAGTGTATGCTTCCACATCTATCACTGAAGAAAAGTTGTGGACATATCCAAATTGCTTTCAAGAACTGCAAAGGGTGTCCTTTAACTTTCTTCGCCGAATTAACCTGTTGTAGGAACAACGGTGGTCATTTTGAACAGTTTTTATAACAAGTTGTACTAAAATTAATCAACTTTGAACTTTTATCTCCAGCATTTTTTATTATATTTGATTGCTTTTACTAATAATTATCACAATAAAATTAGGCATGTTGTAAATAAATCTAATTCGTCATATGTGTATGTATCCATATCGAAAAATGAAGGAACATGTGGTATATCTTATCGTAGTAAACACTCATTAAGTAATGTCAGGTACAATGACTTAAAGATCAAACTGAAATTACAGTCAACCTACAAAATCAGTTCCTACTAGCACTTTGTTAGGTATCTCATATAGACAGAACAGATAAAAAATACACATGACCAAATAATATTAAAATTTTTTTCGTTGTCTAAACTTTGAATTACATTCCTTTTTTAGTTAATGATTAAATTTAATTTTGATAACAAAAAAAAATTGATTTTTCAAAACAATAAGGAACAAAAATATTTCATTAATTTTAAAGTGAATTTCAAGATTTTTTGACAAAAAAATTTTTTGAACAATGATTATCAAGGAATCAAAAGAAATACCCCACGAAAAAAATTTACATTTTTTTTTAACTGTACAAGGAACATTTATTTGAACTCAATCAATGTAAAGGTCTGTTTACCTGTTTAATCAGCTTCAATTTGCTTTTTGAAAGATCTCTATAAGACTGTTGGTTGAATTAAAAATGACACTTTTGCCTTTAATCATTGGTATCTCGGCAAGAAATTATTGCACAGTAAATCCAAGGACAGTTTTAAAATACTGTATTTTTATTTTTTATTTATAAAGGCTAGTGTTACATACACATAAAAGTGTTTACACGCGTCCAAAAAAAAAAAAAAGAAAGTGGTAAATAACAATACACATAATGATAGCAATCAACTAACTGTTATACAAATATACATAAACAACATATAATTAAAATAAATAGGATAAACGACTTACTAAGATTAATGATAACATTCATATTCGAGCTACATTACTGTCAATAAAATCTTCAAAACTATAAAAGGCATTTTTTATCAAGTATTTTTTTATCCTTGATTTAAAATTATTTTCATTAAAATTTTGAATTTGTTGAGGTATTATGTTAAAAAATTTGATGGCCCAATAATTAGTACCGACCCGCGTTTTAGTGAGTCTTAGAAATTTATTACATAAGTATGTGCTCTTTCGGTAATTATAAGAGTGAGTCTCACTTCTGATTTCAATGTTATTTATGTATTTTTTGACATAAATAAGACAATGAAGTATATATGCACAGGGTACAGTTAGAATGTTCAATTTAGAAAACTGCTCTCTACAGTCATCTCTAAATCCAAGGTCAGATATGATTCTAACAATTTTTCTCTGAAGAGTAAAAACTTTTTTCATAGAGGGAGCATGACCCCATACTAAAATAGCATATGTTATGATGGAATGGATATAGCCATGATAAACTATCAGCAAGCTTGATATTGAGACTCTTCGTTTGAGACTCCGGAGTAAATAAGTATGTTTTGATATCTTGGAGCAAACATAATTAACATGTTCATCTCATGTCAGTTTAGAGTCAAGATGAACTCCCAAGAATTTTACACGTGCTGGATTATCCCAGTTTTCCATATTCCAGAGACTAACAATCATAGTTTCGGTCTTCGAAGTATTCAAACTGAGTTGATTACTAGTAAACCAGTTTTCTACCGATGCATGTTGGTCATAAGTTGATGTCATTAACTGTTCAAAGTTTAAGTTGGTTCTAGTTATATTGGTATCATCAGCAAAGAGTATACTTTTAGGCATAAGGCAAACAATTAGGAAACCGAAACTACAACCAAAACCACGTTAGTGAGCTTTCGTGCAGCTTTCGGGAGCGATCGGCACAGTGAAGAGTGACGAGTCGATCAAACTATGCTCATATGCTTCCCCCGCTTCTCTATTTCTTTCATTCTTTAGATGGAAGTTTATTTTTGTTTACTTTAACATTGTTAAGTACAAAATTTACTTTTTAAGTACATGGATACTTCATTTGTATTTTAATTATTATAATTACTTATGTGCCTTTTAAAATGATGAGCTGATTGTTGTCACAAACTTGAACGTTCATACTTTGAATGTCAGAGATACTCTGATTATTATTTGACATAATAATAAAGACTGATATCTATAAGGTTTATTTTCCTAAGTGAAATACATATCAAATAAAATAGATAGTTTTTTTAGAGCAACTAAACTATTAATTTATAAAATAACTGTTTCTATGAGCGCAAACACATATTTGCAACTAGCTAAATGAACAGAAAACTTAAAACATATACAAAAGAATTACCTTAAAAGGAAGTTTCGATTTCAGCTGAAACTGAAACAGAAACCTTATTCCCGGAAATTCCATTTTATGCTCGTTTTTATGTATAATATAATTATGATAAACATAACTATTATGGAATACTCTCCTAATATGGTTATTTCTCTTACAATATTTTTAAATTTTAAGAGACACTGCAAGACAATAAAAATGTTTATCTTAATTTGTTTGTTAATAGTAAGTAGCTATTTGCTAAGTACATAAAATGGTTCTTCGATAGATGTCTGGAATATCCAGATAACCATTTCCGAACTAACGGGTTATCCATTTTCGAGCTTGGGATAGTAAAGCTCTGCCATTTGATATTTGTCAAAAATGTAACTGTCCATTCTAACAAATAATTACCAATACAGTGAGAAAATTCGAAGAGAGTGACAGACATCGTAAGATCTGTGAATCATCGTTTTTCCTGTTCAATCGAAAACATAGCCGCTGTGAGTGAAAGTGTTGATGATGACCCGAATCTTTCTATTCCGCGCCGAGCTCAGCATTTGGGCCTGTCACACGTCACATTGTGGAGAATTTCGCATTTGGACCTACATCTCCATCCGTATAAAGGCCAACTCACGCAAGAACTCAAGCCAGCTAACCATAGATTGCGTCGTAAGTACACCAACTGGGTGCTGGAATAACAGGCCACCAATCCTGATTTTTTGAAGAAAATCTTCTTTAGTGATGAGGCCCATTTCACGCTTAGCAGCTATGTTAATGTGCAAAATTGCCGAATCTGGGGTAGTGAGGAGCCGCAAGTGACCGCTGAGAAACCATTGTACCCGCAAAGTGCTTGGTGTGCATTGTGGGCCGGCAGCGTCATCGGGCCATACTTCTTCGAGAATGACAAAGAAGCCGCCGTAACCGTCAATTATCAGCAGTATGCCACCATGATCAATGACTTTTTTTGGCCTGAAGATTTTGATCTGGACGATATGTGGTTTCAACAAGATGGGGCCACCTGCCACACAACGCGGCCAGTTATGGCTCTATTGCGCGAGAAATTCCCAGGACGTGTAATTTCAAGATTCAGCGATGTCGCTTGGCCACCAAGATCCTGCGATTTAGCGCCTTTGGATTTCTTTTTGTGGTGCTATGCGAAAGACCGTGTTTATGCGGACAATCCCACAACTTTGGAACAATTGAAGTACGAGATATGTCAAATTATGACCGAGTTATTGCCTGAATTGTGTGAAAAAGTCTTTGAAAATGACCTCAAACGGATTGACTCCTGCAAACAGTTCCATGGAGGACATTTGAATGATATTGTTTTCCACTCATAATGGCATAGTTCAAACTTTATTAGAAATAAAAATTCCATCGAAATTTAAATATTCAGTGTGTTTTTCTTAGCTTTACTTCCCCAAGGAGAAAATGGATAACCCGTTATTTTTAGTTTCCCAAACATTAATTTTTAAAAATATGTACTAAATGGCATTTTGATGTGTTTATATCTAGTCCAGACAGTATCTGTTTCAAAAAGCCATATTTGGGTGAATCGTATATCCATGGAGATTTTTGGCTTTTTGGCTTTCAAATATCACTAGAAATGAAAATTTTTCTATGCGCATNAAAAAATTCCCTAAAAAGTATTGTTTTTTAACCCCATTTTTGCGATTTTTTCGATTTTTATCATAATAATCATGATTCATTCGATTTGTAACTAGATATGTTTTGTAAAAATTTTATTGCAAACATTTTTTTCCTCTTCCATTTTCGCCTAAAATCAACTCTTGAAAAGATACATAATTAAATAGGAAGAAAAATATGACATTTTTCAAATTTTTTTAACATATTGTGCCGCCAAAAGTTAAGCCCACGTTTTTTTTATGCACAGAAAAATTTTAATTTCTAGTGATATTTGAAAGCCAAAAAGCCAAAAATCTCCGTGGATATACGATTCACCCAAACCAAAACAGATACCGCCTAGTCTAATAGTAGAAGGATGCTGCAACCTATTTTATTTTGCATTTATTTCCTGGCTATTCATAAAAGGCATGTCTAAAAATTCTTATTACTAATCAGCATGTAGTGCCAATGGTGCATATCACAATCTACACACTTTACTGATAGACATTATAATTTTCCTGATATGGAATATATTGCTATTCTCAGCTTATGTTGTAATAAAGTAACTATATTTTCCTTGAATTTAATTAACAAAATATATGATACAGTTTTCATATAAGAGGACAGTTCAAATATGAATGTGAATTTTCTTTGCTTTTTGCTAATTTTTGAAACTGCAAAACAAGGTATGCACTGCAAGCTGTTATGGTGAACACTACGGCGTCAATTTCTTTCCACCTCATGTGTCGAATGCAGTTAATTCCAAGAAAGCGACGCAGGGGTCTTCTTGGAATTCTATCTCAACAAATATAGTACGGACTGTAGGTATAGTATATATAAGTACAAACAAAAGTTAACAAAATAATAATTTTTTACCCATAAGGAAGGCGACTGTAATTAAATTAATTAACAGCTGTCATAAGGGTTTCACGGTTAATCATATCTCCCCAACGGTAAATACCCATTTCAAAAACAAAAATTACCGTTCAACATTTACTGAGGTCACAGATACATATCTAAAATAGTCAAATTTTTTAAAAGATGCTATTTTAACTAATGGTTGCGAAGCATCAACTACTTCACTTTTTAGTAATCCCACTACCCTTGTCATTGTACAATAACATGTACACGTCTGCCTCTGATCTGAACAATTGCGGGTTTTTGCTAAAAGACATTGGCCCTCCATTTCATTGTCATTTGTGAGTGTGTGTTTTTGATGCTTTGCTTGGTCGAGTGTTTTTGTGGTAGTTATTAGCATTGTGTAGCGTGTGCATAGAGCGGTGCACGGCTTGACCACAGATTTAGCATATTGGACCACAACACATATTGCCGCTTACAAGCATAATATAGATAACTACTGTTTATTTATTTGACTATCGCCACAAAGTTTCCGGTGTCTACTTATAAATTACTTACTCAGAGCAGTTGTCACAACAACGAGTATTAGAGATAACTTTTTTATCCTCAAAATAAGATAAGATGAACTGACGTCTACATTTCGTAGTACTTAAATAGTCTCTTATATCATCCAACATTTTATCCCTCTTAGCTTTACCATCAGAATTGCTAATACCTCTTTCATTCAAAAACCTACAAGGGGAGAAAGATATATAGGTTATGGGAGATATTGAATATTAAGAAGGATGTTATAGCTGTTTTACATTGACAATTTATTCATAAATAAATTGACGAAGTTCTTCATCAATTAATTCACAAATTTATTGGTAAACAGTGTGGTTTTACACTGCTACAGACTTTGCCAAGTTTTTTGACGTATAAATCAGTTCTACCAATGAATCAAAGAAGCAAATAAATTTAAAAAATGTCACCTTTCCACTTATAATTCTGAAATAATTCTGAACTTCATGAAGAAATTGACGAAAATTAGAACATGCTCTAATTCGTCAAGAACTTGAATAAATTCATGAAGTTGTTTGACAGCAGATTTGGTGTATTACACTTGTCCAATTTCTTGATGAAGCGACTTCATTAATTAATTGATCAATAAATGGTCAATGTAAAACAGCTATTAGAGATCATTTAGAACCGACTGAATTAAAAATAGATTTATACAAAATGTAGTTATCGACATTAACGTTTTTCGTTTGTTTTAAATATCCTATAAGTTTCTGCATATTGTTATTAAAAAGAAATAGTTATAGTTAGGAGTTGAAAAACTATATACTAATTTATAATCTCTATGTTTAATTCCTTTTATTAAACACCAATTTAAATAAATTGACCGATTTATAGAAAAAATATTAATATTTATATGTGCAGAAAATATATGTTTGTATACAATATTGTGACTTCAAATTCGTTATAAAGAAACAAAGTGATATTCTAATGCTATTCAAATTATTTTAAATTTAAGGAGGGATATATGAGAAGAAAAAAAAAATCTAAAAATTTATATTTCTTTTTTTTTATGACAATATGCAGAAATCGATAAGAAAAAATCCAAAATTGTGAATACATATCTCGAAAATGGCTGATTATACTTAGTATTGATTATTTTAGGTTCAATATATTCTAAATACCTCTTCTCGAATTCTCTTTTCAGTATTCCATACTATTTCCCTAACACCCCATATATTTCGATTTAACTAAACTACTGATGTTATAAATTATTAAATGAGAAAATAATTTTTCAACACAAACACACTATTTTTTTAATGTTAATAAAATGTGTACCTATGAGTTTCAAAATCTCTATTGCAATAAAAAGCAGTGCAGACAGCTGGCAGTCCATCTCGACCAGCCCTTCCTACCTCTTGATAATATCCTTCAACACTATTAGAAGCACCATAATGTACAACATTCCTAATATCTGGTTTATCTATACCCATCCCAAATGCTATCGTAGCTACAATTACGTCAACTTTATCCTTAACGAATTTCTCATGGGTTTCTTTGCGAACTTTAATTGATAAACCAGCATGATATGGTAAACACTTAACACCAGTACCTACAAGACAATATACAATCTAGAATCAATATTTCACATTAATATTTGTTAAAATATTGCGAAAAAAAATATGATACAAAAACATAAACTTAAGGTAAATATTACCATTAAGAAGTAGACTAATTTCTTCTGTTTGTTTTCTTGTTATACAATAAATTATGGTTGCCCCTCGAAATTTCCATTCTCCATCTTGGCGCTCCATGACGTTTCGTAAGTCACCCAAAATATTGGAACTTTTTAGATGTACAGATAAATACAAATTAGGTCTGTCAAAACCTGAACTTGTTATCTGAGGGTTCCTGTTAAAAAAATTAAAATAAAAATTGTTAAAATTCATTAATGGAATTATTTACTTAATGCAAAAATGTTGCTGTTTATAGTCACAACCAAAACTAACTTAGACTTAACTTATACCAATATCTATTTTTCTATAAACAAAATTGAAATAAAAAACAGTCCATATTTGAGTTAACATTTAAACATTAAGTATAAAGGGTAGGATAACTCTATCTTATATTAAACTAAGACATAAGAAATATTTAAAAATAGTTATTGTTTAACTAGGTAGTAAAGTACATGATTTAATGCCGCGGCTGGTATTTACTAGACGAAGAGCAGCCAAGTCTATTAAGACAGCCAAGGCATTAAATCTACTTTACTGCCAAGTTAAAAACATAATTTTTTCACCGCTCAATTTTAATTTTATCATAACATCAAACAAAGCTATTGATTTCATATATTATTAAAATTATATGATACTTCTTTCATGAATAATAATAATTTCATCTGTCTGTGGTTGCTATGAGACGAGCCTTATTACGTAAATAACTTAAGTAAGTAATTGCCATATTATTCCTATTTAAATTCATAAAAATAAGTATTTATTTTTTGAGATTGAGGATTGTCGGATCAGTAAAGCAAATAGAGTGTAATTTATTGTAGAAAATTTATTTGTAGAAAAATCGAGGAAGATGTATCATCAAACATATAGAAAATTTATTGATAGGGGCTGAGAGGGGCATTGTCTTTTTCAGAAAATGGTATATTTTTCTAATTAAGCAAAAGTATGAAATATTCTTCATTATGGTCAATATACTCGTATGCGGTGCTCACAAGGAGAAGGTAAGGTAGTCGGATTTTTGTAATTTTTTATATTTATGGTACGTGTAGTTTGGACCTTGAATAAGAATTTTCCGAAGTAGTTCGAAGCAATGTTCATAAATTGCTCCTTTTTTAGAAGCATTTCAGACAAGTGTGTAGATGGAGTAAAAACTTAACGCGGATAGCGATGTCGCCCATTTGCAAAGGAGGATTGAGGTAGCGTGATGTTAAGTTTGTGGGGTCTATCATTCACAGAAATGAAGATGGTCGGTGGAACAGATAAGATGTTTGTAACCTCTTTTGGGGTTGGTTCTTGGTCATTGGAAGGGGGGAATATTCGGATGCGGATGGTGTGACAATATATTCGTGAGCTTTATCTCCCTTGAAAGTGGGTGATGAAGTAGAAATGGCCGGTGGAACAGATTATATACAAGTTTAACCTTTTGTTCAGGACAGCTTTTAGTTAGTTTGGGGGGGGGGGTGATTAAGGGTGCGTGTGACATGACAGTAATGGGCTTAACAACTTAACCAATAACGTTACAATTTTACACACAATTCATCTAGTTAGTACAGGGTTTGATTTATGACAAATAAAATTTAAAATATTTTGGAAAGCCAAAACGTGCATAATTTTAGTTAGGACAGTGACTACAATGTTACATAAAATCAAAAATAAAAGGAAGAGCATTAAAAACTGAAATAACTGATGTCCGCGAGATGTCAGTCATTTAATTTTGCTTGCGACAAAAATTGTAGGTACAACTTCAACACTAACAGTATAATAACTGTATCAATTCGAATACAATTATTGAAATAAACATTGTAACATTAACTCATTTAAATCGATCTAAATATTCTAAATACGTCCACCGTAAAATAATAAGGTGCGTTTAGTGTAGTAGTAGTGGGAGAGCGATAGTCTTTGCCTCCTTCTGTAACGTTGGTACACCTAACCCCGCAGCGATACCGAGGAGTATACAGAGAATAGACTTTAAGAATTAGTAAATCATTTTCTGAAAAGTTTAAATAATACTGTCTAATCAGGTGGTTTGGCAACATAAAAGGTCCTATTAGAAACTTGTTCACAATGTTCACCCACATTAATAGAGAAGGGTTATTGAAAATTAATAAAATGCATAGTATCAATTTTTCAAAAGACCACTGGTAAATACAGCGGAAATTAAAAATTCTGTTGCGGATCAAAGGCAATCTGTACAGTAATGTAATAAACTACTAACCACATCACTAATAATAACACTTATAACAATTATTGTACCCACACTAAACTAATAACGAAAACAAGAAGCTTTTAAATGGGCAAAAGAAACAGTAGATGCACTGTCGAGACATAATTCAGCCGAAAAAACATTCAGACTTGGCTTTTTTCATTTACCTGTATATATTCTTTACACTTTATGCACTTTATACCATTTCTTTCAAAAGTGTATAAATCTTTAGCTACTGTACTGATATTGCTACAAATACACCGATATACACTTTTCTCCATTATGCTAGTGGAAGAGAAATACTTAATATTTTAGATTTTTAGAATATTAAAAAAAGAACAATCGGTACCATAGATTTTGCCCTAGATATTGACAACAAATGGTGTCATTTAGCTAGATTTAAATATCTCAGCAGTACTTGAACAATGATATGTAGAAGTAAAAAAATATTTTTCTCTGCTATTTTCTAAACTGCTTTTACTAATGCAAATTTTTAGCGATTTCTATCAAAACCGATCTATTAAATATAAATCTTTAAGTTTATAAATAACCTGTATAAAAAGAGAATTATGTACAACTTTTAAATCTTACCACAGTTTAAGTGTTTTAATAATATCATCTCTAACTCTTTGTGTTGCAGTAGCCGTCACAGCAAGAATTGGCACATTTGGCATTATATCCTTTAATATACCAAGATGACGATATTGAAATCGAAAGTCATGACCCCAACTACTTACACAATGTGCCTCGTCAACAGCTACTAATGATATATCTAACTCAGCATACATTTTTCGCAGCAGTTCTAAAAATCCAAATTTAAAAATAGAATTTTGTTAAAATACTCTGTTCTTACCTTTGCCATAATCGCCAGTACTAAATTCAGGAGTTAAATATACTAAACTATATTTACTTTGGAATATTTCATCAATAGTTTGTTTTTGTCTATTATTTGCAGAGCCAAGCAAACAAGCAGATATATTAGAAACCTACCAAAAAATATACTATATTATACTATAAACTAGTGAACTTTATTAATACCTCCATTGCTAAAACCTGATCTTCCATTAATGAAATTAAGGGTGATATGACTAAAGCCAAACCACCCATATAAACTGCAGGAAATTGGTAGCATAGAGATTTGCCATAACCAGTAGCCATAATGGCACAATTATCTCTCCTATCGATTATTATAGAATGTATAATCTTCCATTGCATGGATCTAAATTTCTTATGCCCAAAACATCTGGATAAAATATTTAAATGTTCAGTTGTTGGTAAACACTGCTCATCTAATTTATCATTATTCGATACATCTGGGTTATCTGAATTCTAAGATTTAATTTACATCAGTAATTAAAATTTTAAAAATGTATTCTTCTTTATTAATTAACTCACATTAAAAAGTTCCAGCTGCCAATCGGTTTCAAATTCTTTTTTCAAATCTTCATCTAGTAATAAATTTTCCATGTTTTATTACAAATCGCCACATATAAATGAAGTATTACTAACTACATATATTTCCTGAAAATATATGAGCGAAAATCGAATCAAAAAGAATTTTATATAATCCCAAAATCGCGGAAAATGTAAAATAGTTATTAAATATTTCTTGGTTATAAAATATACAAATCGATATCTGTCAAGTTAACCATGGAGACTATACAAGACAAGGAGCCCGAACTCCATGTAAACAAAAATTTTACAAAAATAAGAGGGCGCTAGTGTTCCATATGTCCCATATGTAGAGAGGGGAGATAAAAAGCGGCAGTTTGAATTATAAATCAATCATGTCATTTTTGTAATGTGTTAAAAATTTTAAAATAAATAATGTAAGTTACTTTGAATTATATAAATCATGAAAATATGTCATTCCGGACTGTAATTAAACTAAATAGATAATAAAAAATATTAGCTTTATGAGAAGAATTTGGTGTTCGTAGAAAGAAACTAGTTTTCAAGGAATTTATGACGTGATCTTGTTAATATTAACCTATAAGTAAGGTTTATGTTTTTGATAATTACTTTGTTAAAGATTTTAGTTTAATGTTAGTAAAAAATAGTCACATTTTATACAGGAAGTTCCCTTTAAAAAAATAGTACCTAATTCTTGTATTATTAATATAGAATTTTTACTTGTGGTAATAAAAAATAGAATATAAAAANCGCCAAACAAAGACTATTTCGAGTTTCTCTTTCCTCGCCAAACAAAGACTATTTCGAGTTTCTCTTTCCTCGCCAAACAAAGACTATTTCGAGTTTCTCTTTCCTCGCCAAACAAAGACTATTTCGAGTTTCTCTTTCCTCGCCAAACAAAGACTATTTCGAGTTTCTCTTTCCTCGCCAAACAAAGACTATTTCGAGTTTCTCTTTCCTCGCCAAACAAAGACTATTTCGAGTTTCTCTTTCCTCGCCAAACAAAGACTATTTCGAGTTTCTCTTTCCTCGCCAAACAAAGACTATTTCGAGTTTCTCTTTCCTCGCCAAACAAAGACTATTTCGAGTTTCTCTTTCCTCGCCAAACAAAGACTATTTCGAGTTTCTCTTTCCTCGCCAAACAAAGACTATTTCGAGTTTCTCTTTCCTCGCCAAACAAAGACTATTTCGAGTTTCTCTTTCCTCGCCAAACAAAGACTATTTCGAGTTTCTCTTTCCTCGCCAAACAAAGACTATTTCGAGTTTCTCTTTCCTCGCCAAACAAAGACTATTTCGAGTTTCTCTTTCCTCGCCAAACAAAGACTATTTCGAGTTTCTCTTTCCTCGCCAAACAAAGACTATTTCGAGTTTCTCTTTCCTCGCCAAACAAAGACTATTTCGAGTTTCTCTTTCCTCGCCAAACAAAGACTATTTCGAGTTTCTCTTTCCTCGCCAAACAAAGACTATTTCGAGTTTCTCTTTCCTCGCCAAACAAAGACTATTTCGAGTTTCTCTTTCCTCGCCAAACAAAGACTATTTCGAGTTTCTCTTTCCTCGCCAAACAAAGACTATTTCGAGTTTCTCTTTCCTCGCCAAACAAAGACTATTTCGAGTTTCTCTTTCCTCGCCAAACAAAGACTATTTCGAGTTTCTCTTTCCTCGCCAAACAAAGACTATTTCGAGTTTCTCTTTCCTCGCCAAACAAAGACTATTTCGAGTTTCTCTTTCCTCGCCAAACAAAGACTATTTCGAGTTTCTCTTTCCTCGCCAAACAAAGACTATTTCGAGTTTCTCTTTCCTCGCCAAACAAAGACTATTTCGAGTTTCTCTTTCCTCGCCAAACAAAGACTATTTCGAGTTTCTCTTTCCTCGCCAAACAAAGACTATTTCGAGTTTCTCTTTCCTCGCCAAACAAAGACCATTTCGAGTTTCTCTTTCCTCGCCAAACAAAGATTAGATTAAATATAGATATAAGCATTAAATAAATAAATAGATATTATATAACCGCTAACCTTTGGGTCAAGGTTCAGCATTAAATAAATAAATAGCGAAAGAAGCTATAAGAGTCATAGACTCAACCAAAAATCACTCAAGACTGCCACGTCTTCAAATTCAATTTTCAAATTGGAAAGACCTGGTGCTTATCCTTAAATTCAGTGCTAGACAGAGTCCTCGAGCTCTAGTATATCTCGTAAAGCTCGTAGTAATAAAGAAACAATGCATCATTCAATTATACAATATTTTCACTTATGAAATCTTTCTATTTAAAAATTTCTCTACCGTATTAAGAATCAAAGAAGCTGCTTCCAACTTCCGAATTATTCGACCTTTTGCCATAATATTAACCCACTATTCGGTCAAGTTGTAATATAGAACAGCTGGACATCATTAGATTGAAAATGCAAATCACAAACGTACTGTTTTATTTTAAATCTGTTGACAGTCATTCACTTCACATACTATTACCATATTTAAATTATTTTCGAAACTTTCTATTTACAATTTATAAAAACAAATTGTAATAATTATTGACTTGACTTCTAGTTTTTAGGTTTAGTATACCTCCCCGCTCCCCAATATATCTACTAAAATCGATATAAATAAAATAAAATTGGTTATTTGCTTACTTCACTCGTATTTATGAAGCTACATTCATTTGGGTCATATGGAACACTAGCGCCACCCCAACTTCTGCCATTTCTTGGACAAATTTTGTCAATTTTTCCGTATGAGTTCGTGCTCCTTATCTAGTCTCCATGAAGTTAACTATCAATGGGCGAAACACAAGGCGTGCTCGGCTTTATCATCGGATGGATTAGATGCCTCCAGAGGGCCTTTCGATTTGGCAAAAATAGTAGCTATTAAAAGCTAATAGCTGTTTTACATTGACAATTTATTGATCAATGAATCCATGAAGTCGTTTTATCAAGAAATTGGACAAGTGTAATGCACCAAATCAGCTGTCAAACAACTTCATGAATTTATTCATGGAGACTACATAAGGAGCCCAGTTCAGAGCGAACAGCCGAGCTGAGCAGACGTGTTTGTTTGTGAGGTGAAGTAAGTGCAACGAACAAAATCTACCTGCCTTTATTAAAGCTACCTGGAAAGAATCCCTTTCTTTCCTTTTAATCACCGACCTAATCCCCGGCTTAAGCATAAAGGCCGTCGGCATCTTTGTCGCAGGTACCTGTCCCGGGGTTATGTCCAGGTAAGTTTTTACTTATTTATCAGTTATTTGCATTACTTTAGAATACATTACTTTAAAATTGCGACCCCCGACAAACAATATACCAGACAGACAAATAACCCAAAAGACACGTACGCCCCCNTTATTTTCTAGCAGTTTTTATGTTTGAAATCGCGTCACGGCATATGACTAAACTAAAACCGCTGTATCTTTTCCATTGCGTAACAAGCAATATTCGTATGAAGTAAGACGAAAAATCCTAGTCAAATTAGTCACTGTTTTCATATAATTGAAATGTCATCTTGACAATTGCCATATCTGGATTTCTGACAAATTTTAATACTGGTGTTACTGGATATGAAAATATGCCAAAAAATCGATATTTCAAAGCTCAGAAAATATATATAACAGTTAGTACGGAGACGCGATCAAACCAACTGTCAAATTTTTAATCTGAGTGTCAGTTCAGTTTTTAAATGCGCTAGTCAAACTACAGTCTAAAATTAATATCCAACAAACGTCCTCCATTTTCTTTCACTCTAATATACATAAAATATTGGAACGGTTGTCTGTGATAGACTGAGACTATGAAGACATTTATAACGAGCGTTCAAATAAAAACGTGGTCAAGTTGGTTCTGAAAATTTGAACGTAGGGCGCAGCGTATAGCAAATGAACTTAAACCAGAGAACACTATACCAATGTTGATATAGTTTTCTCTGCTTAAACGTCATCTGTCAAAGCGCTATATCGCCGCTATCAATTTGAATATTTTCGTTTTAAAAAGCGTTTAAAATGGTGTTTTCTCAAAAATAAAAAGTGTTTATCATAGAGTCCTACTTTAGAAATGGACGCAAGATTGATGGAATAGGGAAGTATTCTATTGAGGAATGTTTCATAGAATTTCAAAATCAATTTCCCGGCGTTGNCCGTCTTATCTCGAGATGTAGCTCGTTAGAGCGTTGGAACAATCGAAACATCTGCGCACTCGCTCGAGTAGCGCAGGTATTAGTAACGCTGTGGCCAGTTATTCATATCCGAATAATCGAATGATTCTATATGACCACTCAAGATATCTCGAGAGATTTTCATAATCGATATAATCGATAATTTTCATTCGAGTAGTCCCATCACTAGTTTCTATTCTAGAGGGTGTTCTGCGATTAGAACACATGATTGCAGGCCAACATATACCCAGTTTCTGGGTCTTTTCAGGATCCCCTTATAAAAAAACAGTTTTTTGGCCATATTTTCCGTAAATGAGCAGCTCCGATTTTCATTCCAACGATAATCGACTCCATAAATGTTCCAGAACACCCCCCGTTCTTAGATTTCCGGGCCATTTTTGATCATAGAAAATGGAATATTAACATATTAATTAATAATAATAATTAATATTAATTATCTTGTATATTATTTTTTCTATGATTTTTGACAAACCTATGCATCATTGAGGATAGCTGTGTGCAGCTCGTAATTGTATTGAAAGATGCAATGGGTTATTAAAAACAAGATTTCGCTGTTTATTAAGTGAGAGAACATTAAGATATGACCCAGAAGCTGTAGGCAATATTGTAATCGCATGTGCAGTTCTACATATGTGTATATCCGAAAGTTTGGAAGTTCCAGTTATTAACGAATTACAAAATAGAGTACAAATAGATCACAATACTTCCACAGATACAAGATGTAATGGAGGAGGGAAGAGCTGTACGAGTCAATATTGTACAGATATTTTAGAAATTAAAACTTTTTATTAAACAAAAATTGTCACTCAATATGTCTTCATCCTCTTTAAGCCAAAAGTTGACTCTTAATTTTTACCCATTAAAGCTTGTTTGTTTGTTATATCATAAAACATAAAAAATTATGGACAAGGCAGGAATTCAACATATGTATGTCAAATGCTAATGAAATTATTTTTTTAAATAAGCATAAAATTCTTACGTCAACAACCACCGTAACATATGCAATTCATGCTCTAATTTAATATTTTAATGAGATACAATATTGAAAATTATGTCATTATGAATTATATTATATAAATCATATTATCATTACGTACA